CCTTGGCAGTGCTTTCTAGTGATCAGAGTTAAATCTCCGCATGTGATGGATGAGCTTTCCATTTTAAATAAATTGTACTTGACATTTATCTCCACAAGGCCTTTTGGAGTCCAGAAAAATATTGTCTTTCTCTTTACCCATCTTACTCTTTTGCCTATTAGTATATATTATGAAGTTTTTGAGCCTGGGATCAATTTTCTATTGAGGTAAACTTCTTGTATTAACCACAGAACCGTTCTTTGATTTGTGTATGTGTGTGTGCTGGTGTGTGTGTGTGTTGGGGGGAGGTATCCTTATATAGATATTTCTTGGTTGAGAACAAGTTTTCCCTACCTGGATATTGTGACATCTGTATCATTCAGGGTCCCAGCTGGTTCTTTAATGAAACAGATGGAGCATTCAAACTAGGATAATTTACTCACTGCTATCGATTTGGATCCTACTCCTTGGGTTGCTATTGAGTTGGATCCCCTCCTTGGGTTTCCGAGGCAGTATTGCTATGGACGTAGATTGCCCAAACTTTCTTCTGAGGAGTGACTGGTGGGTTTGAACCACATGCCACCAGAGCTCCCAGGATAATTTAGGGAGGGTGTATTTAGTGCCTGAGGAAACTGACTGCTAACCAGAAGGCTGGCGGTTCAAACACACCAGCCACTCCTCGGAAGGAAGGTTGGGCAATATACTTCCGTAGTGATACCACCTCGGAAACCCAAGGAGTGTTGCTATGAGTTGGGTCCGACTGGACAGCAAATAACAACAACAAACAACATTTTAAAAGGTGTGAATGTGGGGGAGGGGAGGGCAGGGAACCTTCTTCATCCACTAACACATTGGAGAAGTTACTACCCCTAGACCAGAAAGGAGTAGAAGGGGCAGTGGCCAGAAAGAATCTAGAAGGAGAGAGTGACGTAGAGAAGGCTGTCCTCAGAGTGATCCTCACTGGAGAGACATAGCCTGGCCCAGGCCACTTACGCTCTATCTTCTCTCAAATCTCCTGCCTGGACTCCCTATTGGCTGAGCCCAATCAGAAGCCAGAAACACAAGAGCCCTTTGATTTGGTCCACATAGGTCAGCCTCACAGAGTAGAGAACAGATTGGAGAAGGCAGAGAGTGGACTTGGAGGGCAACTGAAGGCATCTAGCATGTATCACAATGTGTGTGTCCGGTTATTTCTAGGAGAGGCAGAAATATCTTAATAGATAACTTGAACTCACTTTAATTGAAAAAACAGCTGTAGTGAGGTATAAAGGGGCTCTGGTGGTGTAGTGGTTAGGCATTTGGCTGTTAATCCAAAGGTTGGTGGTTTTAACCTACCAGCTGCTCTGCAGAAGAAAGATGAGGCAGTTTGCTTCCATAAAGATTTACAGCCTTGGAAACCCAATGGGGATCACTGTAAGTTGGAATCTACTTGATGACAGTGAGGTTTTTTGTTTTTATTTTTGATATTGAGGTAACTTGGCATATAATGAAGTATACACATTTCAAGTATAAAATTGGATCAGATTTGACATAGGTATATACCCATGAAGCCATCATCACAATCAAGATAGCAAACTTAACCATTACCCTCAAATATACTCACTTTTGTTTAACATTTAAGATATTCCGTGTGGTTCTTTAAAGAAGATGTGGAAAGATAAGAAATCAAGCAATGTTGTTGTTAACTTAGCCATCCACTTAGCTCTGACTGATAGCGATCCTGTGTACAACAGAACAAAACACTGCCTGGTCCTGTGCCAGCCACACAATCCCTGCTGTATGTACTTGAGCCCCTCATTGCAGCTACTTTGTCAATCCGTCTTGTTAAGGGCTTTTCCCTTTTTTGTTGACCTTCCATTTTACCAAGTGTGATGGTTATGTTTGTATGTCAACTTGGCTAGGCCTGGTTGAGTGGCTGGGCAGCTGGATGTAGTATTCCCCATGATGAGACTGGTAATCAACTCCATGGTGGAATCTACTATGAGCAGCTGAGTAGCTGCCTTTGGGTATGTGGTCTGCGTCCTGTATATAAGGAGAAGCTTTGAGAATGGTCTCTAGCCTTTGGCATGCTTGGACCCTGCATGTAGCCATGTCATGCTCAGCAGCCTGCTATGCTCTGCCGACCTTGGGACTTACAGTGGACTTAAGTTAATGGTCTGCTGTGTGATTTGGTAACATCAGGACTGTGCCTTTTTACTTGTCAACCTTGGGCTTCTCAGCCTCAGCAGCCAGCAGCTGTCTGAGTGAAGAAGAAATGCCTCTAGCTCCAGTGGGCCAGGAGTAGGAGGCAGAGCTGGACCCCAAGGTTGAGGGGCTTTCACCAAGCCCCTAGAGCCTGGCACTTTGAACTTGGACTTAAAGCCTCCAAATTGTAAGACTAAACTCCTGTTTGTTAAGGCCATCCCATTTGTGGTATATTTCTTGTCAGAGTGGCACCAAGTAACCAGAACACCAAGCTTGATATCTTTCTCCAGGGAATGATCCCTTCTGACAACATGACCAAAGTAGATCAGACAAAGTCTAGCCACCATTTTGCTTCCAAGGAGCATTCTGGCTGCACTTCTTCCAGGGCAGATTTGTTTGTTCTTTTGGCAGTCCATGGTACGTTCAGTATTCTTCGCCAACACCACAACTCAAAAGCATCAACTCTTCTTCGGTTTTCCTTATTCATTGCCCAGCTCTCACATGCATATGAGGTGATTGAAAACACGATGGCTTAGGTTCGGTGCATCTTAGCCTTCAAAGAGATCTTTGCTGTTTAGCACTTGAAAGAGGTCTTTTGCAGCACACTTTCCCAGGGCAATACATGTCTGATATTTTGACTGCTGCTTCCATTGGTGTTGATTGTGGAACCAAGTAATATGAAATCTTTGACAACTTCAATCTTTTCTCCATTTTTGTGATGCTGCTTATTGGTCCAGTTGTGAGGGTTTTCATTTTCTTTGTGTTAGAGTGTAATCTATACTGTAGACTGTAGCCTTTAATCTTCATCAGTAAATACTTCAAGTAGATTGCCAGGCCTTTCTTCTGAGGCATCTCTGGGTAGACTCAAATGACCAACCCTTTGGTTAGCTGCTGAGCACATGAATAGTTTGCACCACCCAGGGAATCTGCTTTAAATGTGAAAGAAATTAAATCATTTGCAAACACATTTTCACCATTATTAGGGAGCTCTGGCAGCATAGTGCCTAAGGCATTTGACTGCTAACCAGAAGGCTGGTGGTTTAAACCCACCAGCCACTCCTCGGAAGGAAGGTTGGGCAATCTAATTCCGTAGAGATACCGCCTCAGAAACCCAAGGAGGGGTTGCCATGAGTCGGATCCTACTCAACAGCGAAGGCAGTGAGTGAGTGAATAACAAATTACTTGCATCTCACCTCACAGCTGATGAAGGGACCAGAGAGTTGTGATGTGGGTTGAGAACTAGAACTCTCAGCCTTTGATAGCCACATATCCTGATTTTCTAGAGAAATCAGCAGTGTCCAGTGCAGAGTTGAATGGAATCTCCCAGCTCTGCTTCAAAAAAATAAGAGCACCAATATGGCTGAGCAAGGACAAAGTGTCAAGTTTAAGGAAGGGAGGGGCTCAGCAAGCAAGGAGGGAGGCCCCCTGGTCTAATGCTAGATGGAGCACAACATTGTACACCAGCAGGGTGTTCAGTGGCATCCATCAACATAAGGCCTGTGACAAAGGCCACACTGATCCCAAGCTAGCCCTTAAACATACCAACATGTTCAGGTCTCAGGCCCTTTGCACTTTTCGCTCCTTATGCCTAGATTGCTCTTCCTCTGCGGTTTTGTAAGGCTTACTTTTCACTTTATGTAGGTTACTGCTCAAATATCTCCTCTGCAGAGAGGTTTTCTTTTGCCATGCTATTTAAATTCTCACCTTTGTCACTATCTTGCTCCCATACTTAATTTTTCTTCATAATAATTATCACTATCTGACATTATTTCACAACTTCTAAAGCTTTTTTGGTCTTAGGAACTCTTTGTACTCTTAATTATTGAGGACCTCGAAGAGCTTCTCGTTTTGTGGTGTATGCCTGTCAATATTTAGCATACTAGAAATTAAAATTGACATATTTTAAAATAATTTTTATCAATTGAAATAAAAGCAGCAATAATAAACCCATTACACATTAACATAGATTATGAAAAATAATATTATTTTTCAAAGCAAAAATATTAGAAGAGTGACATTGCTTTACATTTTTTAAAATTTCCTTTGTTAGTAGAAGATAGCTAGATTGTTACACGTGCTTTTGCATTCAATGTTGGGATATATTCTTTTGATTGAAGTTTATGATGAAAATCTGGTTTCATAAAGATATATAGTTGGAAAAAGGAGATATATTTTAATAGCCTTTTCATACACTTGTACATATTCTATTTTAATATTATAGTAAAACTCAACAAGTGGTTGTTACATGGATGTTTTGGTTTTATTTAACCACAGACGGAATGGAAGAGTTTTTCCCTTTATAATTGTAGTTTTTTTTTTTTTTTTTAAGGGCGTGGTGTAAAGAAAAATTGGTCATTCTTTTTGAGATTATGGTTTATTTAATAAGTATAATAAGAAACATGAATCATCAGTTTCATTAGATTATTAAATAACTCTTAAAAAAACCCAAATATTTAATGATAACAGCAGCTGCTTCTAGTCAAATGCCAACTTCTTATGTACACAGGAATTGGGACACATTTTCCATGATAAATCCACACCTCATATTGTGGCTTTTTTTGAGATAGAAAGTGAAAACTTAAGGTAATAGTTTCTAACATAATGCCTTGATAAATATTTGTTAGAATACTATTCATTTTTCAGATCCCATTTATGTCTGTTACCTCATTGGATCATGTGAGTAAACTGCCTGTCAGAAATATCTTTAAGCCAGTATAAGAATAGAGTTAAACATCCAGGTCTACAAATATGTGCAATAAATTAGGCAGCCATTTTTTTCTGCTTGTTCAGAATGTTTCCTCATCATTAATCTATAATTTTATGTTTCTCTCTTTAAGATCCACACAGGTTTACAGCACCAAATAATCTGGCCCTGTCAGCCCAACTGTGTTCCTCTGGATGAAAAACTCCTGCCCCAGTTTCTAAAAGAAGCAGGCTATACTACCCACATGGTTGGAAAATGGCACCTGGGAATGTACCGGAAAGAATGCCTTCCAACCCGCCGAGGATTTGATACCTACTTTGGTAATGGAAATGCATGTTTCTTTAATGACGCAGACTAACTGCAGCCATCTCATAAAACACACCCAAGTGTAATCAAATGAAATAACTGGAAACTTGAACACAGTGAATCAGTCAGCACCACTGTGGAGCCACTATATAGTGTTACCTCCTTAAATATGGCTCTGTGCTAAGCACATGATGTTCAAGAGCCCACAGGAAGGCGATTACCTTTGCTAAATGCCACCTTGGGGCCTTAGAAGAAGTTACTACCTCCACATCAGAGACCAGGTACTCTCAGAGAACCTTATTACCAAAAGGGGGTGCGGGTTCATTTTTTTTCTTAATTCTTAGTGGAACTCAACACAAGAGAGCTCCCCTTCCCCCGCAAATGTTCAGTATATTTTTCCCTACACACTGTATTCATCGTTTTGTTTTTTTCTTCTTGGAGTAGTGCGGGAAGTCTCTTTTCCATTGGCTTCTTTCTCCCCATCTGTGAGATCTATTTTTGAAATCACTGGATTGCAAAAAATAGATCAAAAATAAAATGGGAAGGTTAAGTAGCAAATGGTAAAAGGAAGGATAATAAGGAATATTTAATGGTCTTGATAGCCCTCTAAAAATACATATAAAACCTGAAGTTTGTTTTAAAATTTGCCCTCTTCAAATCTGTTATAATCTGTCCTAATTAGCAACATATTTGCCAGTAGCAATATATCTTTCTCTCAAGTTATTTTCATATTGACCTCTCTTTGTGTCTAGCTGTTTAACTACCTACATACCTGTCACCTTTTGTCCTCATTTACTTACAGCTTTCATTTAATTACTTACAATTGAAAGAGGGATGCACATTGAACACAAGCAGTTTAAAAATAAATAGAATAAAAAATCAAATCCAGGTGAAGAGAAAGAGATGGGATAGTTATATGGTACTAAATTACAAAAAAGAAAAAAGTGGTTCTAGGCAACCCTCACATTTAACTCTGAGTTCCATTTGTCCAAAGCAAAAAAAGGAAAAGTCTATCAGGTCACATTATGTATCAGATAAATGAAAACCAAATGTTCATGAAGAGTAAGACATTTTTCTGGCTCTTAGGCCTGAGAGCAATTTCTCCTTTGGGTCCTCATAAAGGTAAGGTGGACAGCATCCTTAATAACATCATTTTAGTAATCAAACAGTGGTTTTCTTGTAGATGTTTCTTGAGGTATTCTTTCATACAAGCTAGGGCCAAAGCACCAAAGTTTGATTCAGTAAAAAGGACTGTATGATGGGCAAATCAATGCAGTACAAGAATGCAGCTCTGCTGTGCTTTGTTGCATCCAAGGGCTAAAATCAAGATGCAAAGACATCAGACCCGAGGGGGTGTAATCCACTCCCATCTAGACCCTCTAGTAGCCATTAACAGTGGTACTGATGAATGTGGACATATCCTCTGTATCCTCAAACAAGTTAAAAAAATTGGACTTGGGTGTAAGAGCTCTTTGTCATCTTGGACATTCTAGAGGAATAAAGAAGTTGTACATCCTTTGAAATTTTTCATTTAGACCTTTACTAAAAGGTCGATATCTATATTCTGACAAGAGCACAGACTTTTTTTTTTTATTAAAAACCAATTTATATATTTTAAAATTCAGTTGAATAGAAGGTAGGAATGATATCCTTTTATGAGAATTTAGAAGCCTACCCAAGACTGAGATGAATAGGACACACCCCACAGTCATATGGAAGTGAACTAATGAGATACTTGCAGATAGGAGGGTATGATGACTATGCAGCTATTAACACTGTTACAATTTAGATGTCCTGTGGTGATGATTTTGGTGATGGGTGTACAACTCTGTAAATACACTAAAAACCTTTTAATTGTAAATTTTAAATGGGCAAATTGTATGGTATATGAATTATTTCTTAATAGAGCTGTTCAATAAATCAGAGATTTAGTTGTTCAAAAAATAATTTCTGATTTTCCCCAAAAGAGCATAGGCTGAGTCTCCTTCAGCTTCAGCATGTCGGTTCAAATTTTTTTGTGAATTGCTGTTATGATAAAAAGCTCTATGTGATTTCCACATGGTTGCTTGGTATCAGTTTAGCCAGGTTTTGGGTAAATGTAGTTCTCCTATTTCTGGACAGCACTTACTAGTAATATTTTAAAATATTTTTAGTTCATACATTTTTAGGTCAGATATATCCTATGTACATAATCTCCCAAATGGCAGAAAACAGTTTACCTTTACAGATAAAGAACCTAAAGGGATTTCCTCCAGCCACGTAGTGTCTAAGGCACTTCAAGCCTCTCTGCGGAGCTCTGGTAGCATAGTGCCTAAGGCACTTGACTGCTAACCAGAAGGCTGGAGGTTCAAACCCACCAGCCACTCCTTGGAAGGAAGATTGGGCAATCTACTTCTATAGAGATACCACCTCGGAAACCCAGGGAGGGGTCACTAGGAGTCGAATCAACTTGACAGCAGTGAGTTTGAGTTTGTGTTTAACACTCAACAGTTATTAAAAACCTGAAAGGAAACCCTGGTATCCTGACCTCAGAATCACCCATGTTGTTGTTGTTGTTGTTATGTGCCGTCAAGTCGGCCCCAACTCATAGCGACCCCTCCTTGGGTTTCCGAGGCAGTATCACTAGGGAAGTAGGATTGCCCAACCTTCCTTCATATAATGACTAAAATTATTTTTATGGATACATTTTTTTCTCTGTTACATACTCATAGGCAAACATACCATGTTTCTGTTTCTTTTTTATACATAGCATAAAATTGTCACAAAAAGTTATTGTAAAACCAAGATGTTATTTATACTCAGGACTTTAAATTTATTGGATCATGGGAAAGGAGCATTTAATTAAAAATGAATTCATTTATTATATATGCAGAACTCTTAATTGTGATTATAGGGAAAGTTTAAGACTATGGAAAGGGCTGGGCCAATTTTATCAATCCTTATTTTTAGGTTAGTGAGAGTATTTGTTAGGAGATAACTAGTTAAGAGTCTGGCACAACTTACTTCCTTTTGACAGCTTTCTTGAGATATAATTCATATACCATACCAAAACAAACAAACCCATTGCTATCCATCAAGTTAATTCTGACTCATAGCAACCCTGAGGACAGAGTAGAACTGTCCCATATGGTTTCTGAGCTGTAAATCTTTACAGAGGCAGACTGCCTTATCTTTCTCCTGCAGAGCCTCTGGTGGGTTTGAACTGCGGACTTTTTGGTTATCAGCTGAATGTTTTAATCACTGTGCCATTCAAAGATCCTTATATACCATACTCAATTCAAGTGTACAATTCAATGTTTTAAAATAAATTCACAAGATTGTGCCACCATCACAGCAATCTAATTTTAGAACATTTTCATCACCCCAAAATTGACGGCCTGGACCCATTAGCAGTTACTCCCATTTTCCCCCAGTCTTCTAGGCCCAGGCAATCATTAATCTATGTTTTGTCTCTACAGATGCTTGTTCCAGACATTTCATATAAATGGAATCATACCCTATATAAGACAGCTTATGTTAATACTTAGGAAAATACAAAACATTTGCTATTAGTTGAGAAAACTATTTTCTTGTTTTTTTAAGTCTGAATGGTAGGCTAGACAGTTGATACCATTTGGAGAGAAATTGAGATCATTGTAGGTAGAAAAGCATCATTTAAGTGCCACATTTTCCTTTGATCTTTTGATTCTTTTACAATATGTCTGGAGATCCTCTGTTTGGGAAGGTTTGTGTCTTCCACCAGTGGGTGTCAGTATCTAATTAAAGATGTCTCCTCCTAGAGCTATTTTCATCAATAACCTTGAAGCCAGTCTCAGAATGTCAAGAACAACACTGTTTGAATCCTGTGTTTATTTACATGATCACCTCATAGTAAAAGGCTGTAATAATGCACATTAGCCATATATTGTTTTTGCCGTTAGATAGCTTTCAAAGAGTAAAATGTATCATCACTATTGCATTTGCACTCTTATCTTTATTAAAGCTTATTTAATTAGAATCAACCATATGCTTTCACAGTTATATGATATAGCTTATGTTCTAAAGACCTGAGTGAGAAAGGATTTGAAATGTTATACAATAACATTTTAATGCCTTCTATCTACTATCAAATTTAGAGATGTTAAGAAATGGTACTCTGATTAGTCTTGTCATTTGATTAGGCTTGTCATAGGAAATAAATTGCCATTAGGCAATTAAATGCTAAAACATTAGTTCATTTAGCAAGTTCTATGCTATGCTGACTACTTTCATCTTCCATTCTTGTTACAGGATATCTCCTAGGTAGTGAAGATTACTATTCCCATGAGCGTTGTACATTAATTGATGCTCTGAATGTCACACGTTGTGCTCTTGATTTTCGAGATGGTGAAGAAGTTGCAGCTGGATATAAAAATATATATTCAACAAACATATTTACGGAAAGGGCTACAGCCCTCATAGCTAACCATCCTCCAGAGAAGGTATGTCATGATTCTTGATTGATATCAAAATCTTGTTAAGATAACACTTCTTGAAGTGAAGACCACTGTCCTTTAGATAAAAATCTAACACATTCTAGGGGAGTTGTTCAAATTTTAGAGTGCATCAGAATCTGCCTGGGAAGCTTGTTATCAATGAAGATTCCTGGAACCCATCTTTGAGTCTGATTGACTAGTTCTGGGGGAAATCCATACATCTGAATTTTAAAGAAAGTTCTTTAGGATGATTCTGATGCAAGTGGTCCCCAGATCACACTTTGAGGAATAACATGTCTGTAGTATTTCAGTGCACATGTAGTTTTATGTATCATGTGCATGTGCTGTAAGAAATTAGTAAAATATCTCTTTCATTTTATTTTTTAAACAATGGGTTTTAATACAGAATGAGTCTTTATTACAGCAAACTTTCTGTTAAAGTCAAAGCAGTAAACTTTTTATACTTTGTAGGCCATAAGGTCTCTATCAGTACAACTCAACTCTGCCAGTGTAGAGCAAAAGGAGCCATAGATAATATGTAAACAAATGGGTGTGGTTGTGTTCTAATAAAATTTTATTTACAGAAACAGGTGGTGGGCCAGTTCTGTCCCACAGGCAGTAGTTTGTTGATCCTTGCTTTGTTATATAAACATAAATTTGATATGGCCCTGAGAGATCATTTAGTCCCTTGCTCCTCAAATTATAGTCTGGAGAACAGCAGAATTAGCATCACTTGGGAATTTGTCAGAAATTCAGAACCTTAAGGCATATTCCAGACCTAACTGATTCAGTATGTGCATTTTAATAAGGTGCTCAGATGATTCTTATTATAGTTTGAATAGGACTGCTCCAGAATAGTAATATACAAATAGAAATACTATGCAACTCACATATGTAATTTAAAATTTTCTATATTAAAAAAGTAAAAAAAAAAAATTTATAATTCAGTATATCCAAAATATTGTCATTTCAACATATAATCAAATATAAAAATGTATTAACAAGATATTTTTACATTCACATTTCCTCCAAGTGTTTTTATGCTTTATGTGTATTTTATGCTTACAGAGCATCTCAGTTTGTACTATCTGCATTTCAGGTGTCCAGTAGCTACCTGCAACTAGGTGCTACCATCTTGGACAGCACAAGTCTGGACCAAAACATAGAAAGTTGCTGAGAATAGTTACTTTTGAAGGTTTATTCTTAATTATGAACAATGCATTATTGGAAATTTTCTTATGGGAACTACCTCAGAAGTGATGACACATAAATATGAATGTCCTCAGGGACATTATTTGATAGTGATATGTCCTTAATAAGGAAATGTTTTTCACACTTTGAGGATAAATTTGAGTTAAAGGAAAGTAAGTCAGAACACACAAATATGATTAAAAAAGTCAATGATCATGGTGGTTAATATGATTCTTGGTTAAAAGAAGTACAAATAATGTAGCAAGAATCATTTTCTATACCTCATCTACAGATACCACCACTTGTCTGTCAGTTTGTTGTACTGTGGTGGCTTGCATGTTAGTGTGAGGCTGGAGGCTATGCCACTGGTATTTCAAATACCAGGAGGGTCACCCATGGTGGACAGGTTTCAGTGGAGCTTCCAGACTAAGAAAGACTTAGAAGAAGGGAGGGACCATATACTTTTCAAAGAATTGGCCAGTGGAAACCTTATGGATAACAGTGAAACACTCTCTGATATATTACTGGAAAACTTTACGAATAGCTCTGAAACATTGTCCAATATTGTGCCAGAAAATGAGCCCCATAGGTCAGAAGGCACTTAGAATACAACTGAGGAAGAACTGCCTCCTCAGTAGAGGTGATCTAATGATGTGGATGGAGTACAGCTTTCGAGACCTCCTTTTACTGATGTGGTGTGACTCAAAATAAGAAGGAACAGCTGCAAACATCCATTAATAATTGTAACATGGACTGTATGAAGTATGAATCTAGGAAAATTGGAAGTTGTTGAAAATGAAATGGAACACATAAAGATCAATATCCTAGGCATTAGTGAGCTGAAATGGACTGGTTTTGACCATTTTGAATCAGACAACCATATGATCTACTATGGTGAGAATGACAAATTGAAGAGGAATGGTGTGACATTCATCATCACAAAGAATGTTTCAAGATCTATCCTGAAGTACCATGCTGTCAGTGATAGGATAATATCCATACATCTACAGGGAAGACCAGTTAATACTACTATTATTCAAATTTACTCACCAACCACCAAAGCCAAAGATGGGGAATTTGAAGATTCTCACCAACTTCTGCAGTCTGAAATTAACCAAATATGCAGTCAAAATGTGTTGATTATAACTGGCTATTGGAATACAAAAGTTGGAAACAAAGAAGTATCACTGGTAGTTGGAAAATATGGCCTTGGTGATAAAAATAATGCTGGAGATTGCATGATAGAATTCTGCAAGATGAACAACTTATCCATTACAAATATCTTTTTTCAATCACACAAATGATGACTATCCATGTGGACTTTTTATTGAGTAGACAAGAATCAGATCAACTATATCTGTGGAAAGAGGCAATGGAAAAGCTCAGTATCATTAGCCAAAACAAGGCCAGGAACTAACTGTGGAACAGACCATCAACTCGTATGCAAATTCAAGTTGACGCTGAAAACAATTAAAAGAAGTCCATGAAAGCCAAAATATGTCCTTGATTATATCCCTCCTGAATTTAGAGACCATCTCAAGAATAGATTTGATGCATTGAACGCCAGTGACCGAAAACCAGAGGAATTGTGGGATGACATCAAGAACATCATCCATGACAAAAGCAAAAGGTCATTAAAAACACAGGAAAGGAAGAAAAGTCCAAAATGGATGTCAGAAGAGACTGAAAATTGCCCTTGAATGGAGAGTAGCTAAGGCAAATGGAAAAAATAACAAGATAAAAGAGCTGAACAGAAGATTTCAAAGAGCAGCTTGAGAAGACAAAGTCAATTATTATAATGAAATGTGTAAAGACCTGGAGTTAGAAAACCAAAAGGGAAGAACATGCTCAGCATTTCTCAAGCTGAAAAAACTGAAGAAAAAAATTAAGCCTTGCATTGCAATATTGAAGGATTCTATGGGCAAAAGAAGATGGAAAGAATACATAGAGTCACTATATCAAAAAGAATTGGTCAATGTTCATCCATTTCAGGAAGTGGCATATGATCAAGACCCAAGCATGGCAAAAATTGTGTGGATGCTACAAGACCATGCAGTGTTTTGTTTTGTTGTATGTAGGATTGCTATCAGTTGAAACCAACTCGACAGCACCTAACAAGAACAATTTCTGGGTTCTTTGTTTTGTTCCATTTATCTATTTAACTATCCTTATGCTGGTACCGGGAGCTCTGGTGCGTAGTGTCTAAGGCATTTGACAGCTAACCAGAAGGCTGGTGGTTCAAACCCATCAGCCACTCCTTGGAAGGAAGATGCAATCTATTTCTGTAGTGATACTGCCTTGGAAACTCAAGAAAGGGTTGCTATGAGTTGGATCTGATTTGACGGCAGTGAGTTTGTTTTTTGTTTTTTTATGCTGATACCATAATATCATCTTGACATCTGACCTCTTGCAGTGGCCCTGCTTCCTGTGAAACATTTAGTATTTACTAGAGCATTATAATCAGGTAGTATAAGCCCTCTAACTTTGTTTTTTTAACACCCAAGATTACTTTGACTATTCTAGACCTTTTGTGTTTCCATGTTAATTTTAGAATCAATTGGTCAATGTTTAAAAACAATAACAAAAGATAAAAAGTGTGCTTGTATTTATTTATTATTTATTATTATTATTTTTTTAATATGTTTTTTTTTTTTTAATTGTGATTTGGGTGGAGATTTACAGAGCAAATCCACTTTCCATACAGCAGTTCAGGTATACTTGTCTCATGACATTGACCACAGTTTACCACAATGCAACAGCTCCCCTCCCACTTCCTCCCCATAGTTACCTTTTCCCTGTGTCCAAACCTCCATGGACTCCTGCCCCCTGAGCTATCTCCTTGTGCATAAGCAGCCCTTCTTTCT